ATAGGAAATGACCAACAGGACCAGGCATGACAGCTCACATCTATTATCCCAGAACTTTGGGAGGCTGAGGCAGGCAAATTACCTGAAGTTAGGAGTTCGAGACCAGCCTGACCAATATGGTGAATCCCTGTTGTAAAAATACAACAATTAGCCCTGCATGGTGGCATGCACCTGTAATCCCAGCTACTTGGGAAACTAAGGCAGGATAATCACTTGAACTGGGGAGGTGGAGGTTGCAGTGCACCAAGATTGCACCACTGCACTCCAGCCTGGGTGACAGAGTGAGACTCCGTTTCAAACAAAGGAAAGAAAAAAGAAAATGACCAACATGACAAGAGTCCTTTCGCTCATGGACTCCTAGATTTTTTAATTCTGTGGGCTAAAAGTTTAAAATTAAACAAGGAAGAGTGACTTACAGATGCAATTGTCTATTACCACCCTTATCCCATAGAAGAAAACATTTTAACACCTAAAGAGTAGAAAAAGTAAGACTAAAAAAGTCTTTTAGGTTTCCCTAAAGCTTCTAGTGTCTTAGAGAGAACACTGGCTGACGCTATTTGGTTGTAATACAGTTGTTGAAACAGGGACTTGCTGTTTCAGGAGGAGAGCTATTTTTGTTGTTTGTTGTTGTTGCTGCTGTTTTCTCCCTGGGGCGTTCTGAGTGCCTAGAAGCACTTGATTTGCTTGTGCAGCCCAGCCCTTAAATGCCTGGCCATTCTCAGCGTGATCCTGCTTCCAGCCTCTGTGGCCTGACCCCCCAGTGAGTCAGCCAGCCCCCTAGAGGGAGGGCAGGGAGAGACACACACCCAGCCTGTGCTGCTGCCTCCACTGCCCCAGAGGTGACTTGGGGGTAACTCCTGCAACTTCCCCAGTAGAGGGGAGTTTCTTTTCTTTACGTCAGGCCCTGAGATTTCCCCACACCCACTTCTCTCTCTTCTTGCCCAACCCTGCTTAAAATACAGGGAAACTGGAACCGTTAAGTCTCTTCTTTGACTCAGGATCCTTCCCTTTCTCTCCAATTGGGTGGTCTCAGGAGGAAGACAGGCAGCAATAGAGATTTGTTTGTGTGCAAGCCATAGTCTGTGTTTCGGTCTAAATATTCCTCTCTTTTTTTTTAAGTTTAGATTACTTTTTAAAACTTTTTCATTTTTTAAAATTAGACTTTAAGTTCTGGAGTACGTGTGCAGAACGTGCAGGTCTGTCACATAGGTATACACGTGCCATGGTGGTTTGCTGTATCCATCACCCCGTCATCTACATTAGGTATTTCAGTGCTATCCCTCCACTATCCCCCCCACCATCTGCTATCCCTCGCCATCCCCCCACTCCCTGACAGGCCCCAGTGTGTGATGTTTCCCTCCCTGTGTCCATGTGTTCTCATTGTTCAACAACCACTTATGAGTGAGAACATGCAGTGTTTGATTTTCTGTTCTTGTGTCACTTGGCTGAGAATGATGGTTTCCAGCTTTGTCCATGTCCCTGCAAAGGACATGAACTCATCCACTGCATAGTATTCCATGGTGTAGATGTGCCACATTTTCTTTATCCAGTCTGTCATTGGTGGGCATTTGGGTTGGTTCCAAAGCTCTACTATTGTGAACAGTGCCACAGTAAATATACATGTGTTTATGTCTTTATAATAGAATGATTTATAATCCTTTGGGTATAGACCCAGTAATGGAATTCTGGTGGCTTGCTGACAATCTTTGATGTTCCCCGATCTCTGCCTTCATCTCCACATAGCATTTATTTCTGTCTCTGTGTCCAACTCTCCTCCTTTTCATAAAAATACCAGTCGTGTTGTATTGGTGTTTCATCGTACTCCAGTATTACCTCTTCTTAACTAATTACATCTGTAGCAACTCTATCTCCAAACGTGGTGACGTTTTGAGGTTCTGGGGTTTAGGACTTCAACATATGAAATTTGGGGCATACAATTCAACCCATAACACATCTAGTAATATGTTCTAAAAAGAATACTGATCATAGGACAAAGAAAGGTTAACATCAAATTTTTTTTTCTTTTTTTTTAATCAATAGGTCTCTCTGTCACATCCAGGCTGATCTCAAACTCCTGGGCTCAAGTGATCCTCCTTGGCTTCCCAAACTGCTGAGATTATAGGCACAAACCACCACACCCTGCCTAAAGTCAATTTTTAAACAAACTTAGTTTCATTAAATCTAATGCTCTTTAATAAAACCTACCATATATGCACTCTACCAATTCAATTACCTAGGAAGAGCATTAGTCACATTAAAAACTAACAATCCTAGAAATATAGAAGACTATAGGAGAGAAGCTTTATGATAAAGAAAATTCCATTCATGTCATTAGAAAATGGTAAGCTGATTTTTTAGCCCTTAAGTGCTTTCTGAACTAAATAAAATGTTTCATTCTCTCATTTATCAAGCACCTGTTATGGGCCACACAGTGTGTCAGATTTGGGGCACTCAGTAGTAAACATGTTTCTCCAGCCGGCTCTGACTTCCCCTTTATTACCAGGGGCAGGGGTAATTCCATTGCTGCCACCTTCCCCTGGAACAACTTCTTCCGAGTTTCACCAGGGCTGAGCTACATCATTCAAAGCTCTGAGGTGGTTTGCGGCAACATGGAGCATGCTTGCTTCAAGTCTCTCTCCTTTTCTATCTGTCACCCTTTAGACAGATAACAAAGTAAAGGGCTCCTGAGGCCTACCAGCTGTTTACTCACATCTTTTTTCACTTATCAGCTTTCACATGAGAATAAGCTAAGATCTAAAAGAAAAACAGCTCTACATAGGACCACTTCCCTTTGGCTGACTGAAGCTTTGATGCTAAGCTTTGTTTGCTGACCATCTTTTCCCTGAGGATAAATCTTCTCAACTTCCTTCATCCTCTTATGCAGTTAGACTCCTGGTGAGTCTATCTCCAAATCTGAACCAGGCGTGTTCAGTAGGGAGTCACAAGTTGGACTTCATTTGTGAATACTCGTTACTTGAAGAGATTATCAAGTCCTTTTAAAGTCATACTTTTTTTCTTGATGTATTGTGTCATTTTGACTATGAATATTCTCTAATGTCAAGAAGCTGTCATCAACAATAATCACAGTTGAGAGTAGGGAAGTTAGGTGATCCTGTCAGGAAGAGAAATGCTGCCCATTTGATTTCTTGTCTTTACTTTTTATTACTTGAGTTATTGTATAACTAATACATGGATAATATTGTCTATAACTACATCCTCTTGTGACTAATTAAATATTAGATTATTTTCTCCGCTTGTATGTAAGTAAAAGATGAGTTTCATGATAAAAATGTTTTAAAAACAACAAATGTTTTATATTTTATTTAAAAAAATATGTTTTCTGGCCAACAAACATGAGAAAATGCTCAACATCACTAATTATCAGAGAAGTGCAAATTAAAGCCACATGAAATACCACCTTATCCCAGCCAGAATGGCCATTGCTAAAAATTAAAAAAAAAATAGATATTGCCATGGATATTGGTGAAAAGGAAGAAAACGAAATGCTTATCCACTGTTGGTGGGAAAGTAAATTAGTACAACCCCTATGAAAACAGTATGGAGATTTCTTAAAGAATTAAAAATAGACCTACCATTTGCAATCCCACTACTGGGTATCTACCCAAAGGAAAAAAAGTAATTATGTCAAAAAGACACCTACACACATTTATTCCAACACAATTCACAATTGCAAAGATTAGAAACCAATGTAAGTGCCCATTAACTGATGCCTGGAGAAAGAAAATGTGGTATATTTACATCATGGAATACTATTCAGCCGTAAAAAAGAACAAAATAATGTCTTTTGCAGCAACTAGACATTGGAGCTAGAAATAACTCAGGGATGGAAAACCAAATACCATATGCTCTCACTTATAAGTGGGAGCTAAGCTATGGGTACACAAAAGCATACAGAGTGGTATAATGGACATTGGAGACTCAGAAGGGGGGAAGATGGGTGGCGGGTGAGGGATAAAAAACTACATATTGGGTGCAATGTACACTACTCGGGTGATGGGCAGACTAAAATCTCACATTTCACCACTATACAATTAATCAATGTAACCAAGAACCACTTGGACCCCAAAAGCTATATGAAATATAAATACATATAAGACCTATATTATATATTGTTATAAGTTATTAATAGACATGATTAATATATGTTATATATTATTAATATATATTGTTATATTAATATATATTTATATTATATAAATATTTATGTAACTAACATAGATAATATGTTATTATTAATTATATATATATATACACATAATATAGGTCTTAAAATTCAAATATGGCTAGTTTTGGAAAACTTTTTCTAAAGAATTACAGTTACGATAGTCCATTAACCAGAACTTGTAGACTTATAGGGAATTTGGTGTCCAAACTTGGTTTTTCTGACTAGTTTTTTTGTTTTATTTTGTTTGTTTGATTGGTTTTTGGAGACAGAGACTCACTTCTTCACCCAGGCTGGAGTGCAGAAGCGTGATTTCAGCTCACTGCAACCTCTGCCTCCCGGGTTCAAGCTCGTGGGCCACCACATCTAGCTAATTTTCGTATTTTTAGTAGAGACGGGATTTCACCATGTTGCCCAGGGTGGTCTTGAACTCCATCTGCCCCCCTCTGCTTCCCAAAGTGATGGAATTATGGGTGTGAGCCACTACGTCCAGCCTCTGACTAGTTTTTAACAGGTATTTTTATTGCATTTATCCAAAAAAACATCATATTGCAATGCTTTGAGAAACAAGAAAATCTGTTCTCATTTTACTATTAACAATATTAATGGTTCTTCAAAATCCAGAACCAAGTAATTAACATTCTTTTATGAAAACACATTTATTAATTTTCAAAGAAAATCTTGTAATGGTTTATAGTTTTAAAAAAAACTAAAAACCATTATAGTACCTGAGATAAAGCAGTCTTCAGACTGAGTCATAAAGCTATGGGGGCCCCTCCCAGCATTCTTATGCCAATCTGGAAGTGATGTCATAATGTCCTAGTTAGACACAGGACCTGCTGGGCCACAGAAAGGAGGCTCTGTGAAGACGCACTAGATTACTGGATACATCACTTCAATTTCCCAATGAATTTTATATTGTTTATTCTTATACCTGGAGTTTTTTCCCTAAAGAGTAGCACTTTGAAGCCTACTATTGAAGGTGAGAAAGCATTTAAAACTTTTGTAAAAATAGTAGGTAAGAAGGATGACCCATAATTATGAAAAATTGTTATGTGGCTGTTTCCTAAAAGATGATATAAACTTTATTGTTGGAGATGTGGTATGCCTTAGATTTTAAATCTCTGCCTCTAATCCTTTGTGGAAAAATGCAGTTAGAAAAAGAAAGTAGTAAAAGAAATCAACGTATTTCTGATCTATGGTGTATAATACTATTTTTTTTTTTTTTAGCATTGCCTAATGTGATGCCTTTAAATGAAGATGTTAATAAACAGGAAGAAAACAATGAAGATCATACTCACAATTATGCTCCTGCTAATGCGAAAAATGGCAATTATTATAAAGATATAAAGCAATGTAAGTCTTTAAAGTGAATAGAAACGTATGTGCAGAAGTTGAGTATCCTTAAAGTGAATAGAAACATATGTGCAGAAGTTGATTTGACTTAAGTCTCCTTTTTAAACTTTCATCCTTTTCCCCTGTATTTGTTCAACTTTTGTGACTTGCCCGTTCATATCCTTGCCGAGTTTTCCATTAGGTTGTATTTTCATTTATTTTTAAGGGCTCCTTTTTATGTAGAATATATTAACCCTTTTTATGGTAAAAGTAATAAATGTTTTCTGCCAGCATGTTGCTTTTCTTTAAGCCTTATTTTATTTTATTATATCTTATTTACTCTGTCTTACTCTGTCACCCAAGCTGGAGTGCAGTGGCATGACCATGGCTCACTGCAGCCTTGACCTCCCAGGGTTCAAGCAGTCCTCCCACCTCAGCCTCCTGAGTGGCTGGGACCACAGGCATGTGCCATCGCCTCAGCTAATCTTTGTATTTTTTGTAGAAATGATGTTTAATCATACTGCCCAGGCTGATCTCGAACTCCTGGGCTCAAGCAATCTACCCACCTCACCCTCCCAAAGTGCTGGGATTACAGGTGCTAGTCACTACTCCTGGCCAAGCCTGTTTAAGTATCTTTAATAACTGAGAAGATTTCAAGTTTTATAATATCAATTTTGTTTATTAATTTCTTTATAATATGCATTTTGTATCTTATCTAAATAGACCTTATCCAGTCCAAAATACTGTTTTCTTGATTTTCAAAAACAATTATATGCTTTTGTTTTTAACTTGAGCTTTAAATCCAATTATTTTTGTACATGGCATAAAGTAGGGATAAAACATTATATTTTTCAAGGATGATAGCCAAGTGTCAAAGACCAATTCCCTACTGATGTGGAACTCATATTTAATATGGTCAAAACTCTAAGATGAAATTAGGCCAATTGTTATACTTCTTGTTTTTTTAATCTGTCTGTTCCTAGAAAAGTACCAATGTTTCAACTTTGATAACTCATGGCATGAGTGTTGGACTGTGATTTCCTTTTATTTTTCCATAGTTCTGCCTCAGGCATTGCTCAAAAATGATGAAATACTAACAGTTCAAGGGCAGATAAATGCTTCTTACTTGGTGTTTTGACAATATCAATACAAACAGTGATAACGTTGCACATCTACAAATCTACTTCAGCACCTGTTACGTGCTTACATATTTGTTTCTATGAATTTCCTCAATAATTGCTTCTTGGAAAGGGTCATTTAGCATAAAGATACTAGTCTGGCTTTTTTCCATGAGTTTTAGATTTTACCCTTGCCCACTTTCTTATTTTACAGATGGAAGAAAATGACTGTTTTTTTTTTTTTTTTAATGAGTGCATATGTTTTAAGAAAAAACTCAGAGGAAGAAATAGGTAAAAGGAAAACAGTGACCTAGCTAGTTGCTGAAGACTTTTGCTTTTGTTTTTAGATGTGTTCACAACAGAAAATCCAAATGGCACTGAGTCTGAAATAACTGTGAGAGCCACAACTGATCTGAATTTTGCTCTAAAAAACTGTAAGTACTGAAAGGCTTGCACATGTAAAGCCATTAAAGCAGGATTTCCAAACAGCACTAGAAAGTGTTGGGGAGAAAAGAAGTCTTCATTCCTAAACAAGGCTAACATTTTCCCTCTAAAGTAGGTACCTTGACTGGGATTCAGCTCAGCTCGTGGCCATCCCCTCTGCTTTTCTCACACTTCCTCCCACACGAATGCACTGGAGGCTCCACATCCATTACCTGATCAGTTCAGAAGCCAGGGAGGTGCTTGCATTTCTAAACCTCACACTTTTGGTTTATGTGGAAAGAAAAATTAAATAATCACTAAATTTAGATTTCTAGAAAATTTACATCTTTCTTAAACCCACATTTTTTTAATGCCTTTCTGGTTTTTATCTTCAGCTTTAAATGGGGAAGAGAGAATGTTTCTAGCTATGGCAACGTCAATATTGAGAAAAGTGAGACTCAGGAATGCCTAATTATTTACAAAGCTACTTGATAATAATGGAATATTTTGAGCAATTTGACTGTGGAATTTAAATGAGACAGTGACATTTCAAGGGCGTATGTTAATTCCATAAATCACTCATGGCAATCTTGCTTGCGCACAGCAAACATCGTGAGTTGTCTGGGCAAGGCATGGAGAGGCAGCTCTTAAGCGCACCAGGTACCTCAGATTCCCTTAGGATATGAGTTACTGAGGACAGATCACAGGCCCCAAGGAAGAGACTGCAAACCCCTCACTTCCATTTCCACAATCCAGGCACCAGCGGATTGTCAAGGAAAGTGGGATTGGAATAAGACATTGCTGCCATCTTAAATGGGGCTCTGACAGAGGAGACCTGCCAGCAGGGTGGGGACGTTCTAGAGGAGCAAGCCCTCAGGAAGATGGAGATCTGTGGATACCTTTGACTAAAGGTTGCTTGCTTAAGTAGAGTCCCTAAAACTCTGAAGGCAAGAGGGATAAACTGAGGCAACCTAGATGCTTTTCTTCAGAGGATAAGGGTTGCAAAGCAGAATTTAAGGATGACTTACCAATTCTTTGAGTTCTGCTTGAATCACTATTAACTCCAGTAACTGATTCCCTTTCCCAACCTTCCTTGTCAACAAGACACCTGTCATGGGTTCGTGGGCTTAATGTGAATTTTTTCTGCCTCTCTCTGGAAGTCCTCTTGCAGTGGGTCCCGGTACTCCTTATGAAACTTTATTGACTCCTGTATTGACCAGTGAACTGAAACACCCATCAACTTCCAGAAAGGGTTCTCCAGTCACAGTTGTTACCAAACATTCCCTTAGTGACATACCTCCAGAGGGACCCATTACAGAAGGAGATATATACTAAATTCGACCTGAAAATTCTTGATTTGTATCCAAATGTCTGTATCCAAAATGTTTGTATCCAAATGTCTGCTTCCAATTTACAATCACACTTTAATTCTCGGCCTCCCTTTCTTGCATTGTTCACTGAACAGCAGCCAAGCTGCTCTGGACAAAGAGGATGATTTCCCCACCTGTGCAGGGAGCCATCTGGAGTCAATTACCTCCTCCAAGAGCTCTTCTTTACCTCTAAAGAAAGCCTGTGGCCCCGTATTCCTTTTCCTCTCTTTCACAGGTTATAGTTGTATTAATCCCACCTCAGGCACCCCATGATTACAAAAACGTTATTCTTCAATATCTTCTTCTTTCTCCTTTATTTCAGGAAAATGTTAATGTCTTTCTCTTCTATTTCTTCACTTGCCTTTTCGTTGTTCCATTTTTAGTTTAAAAAATGTCTAATCTCAGATGTTTAGTCGGTATTTTTACATGCCAATAATCCTTTTTCTCTTTTCCTAGTTAAAATCGTCCATGCGAGTACATCTGAAAAATCTTCCAATGAAGAAGAAACAACTACTAACGAACCCTCTCATAAAAATATTCAAAGTATTAAAACTACTACACTGTATTCATACCTGGAGCATATCATTATGTGACTTAAAAATTTAAGTTTCACCACTCTAAGCGTTACATAAAGTCGTAGCATACCTAAAGAATTTATACTGCTACAATTTAAAGTCACTAAAATTGTTTAAATGGGGAATGTCTAAGAGTCAATCTTTAGGTATACCTGACAAGGGATAGGAATGAGCTTCTTTAGAAATAGAATTTTATTTAAAAAAAATATATTACATTTGTGTCTATATTAAATAGGTATTTATAAATTAGTATATATTTATAAATATAAGTATATATTAAATGTCTTTGAAATATAATTTATTTTGCTAGTGATGGAAAATATTCTGCCTGCTTGAGGAATAAAATTATCTAGAGTCAATTATTAGTGTTTCCTAAGATTATTTGAGGTGGGGAGTTGGGAGTGGGAGTCTGCAAAATCAAAATTACCATTTTACTTTCCTGTGAAGAATATTGTTCCTTATATTGTGGAGCCATAACCACCCAGGACGGCTCTCCTCTAAAGTCTTGAATGAGTGGTCTAATCGAAGAAAATGGATACTTATATGTCATTACATGAAACCCTGTTTTCTCCAGTTCATACAATCTTTTTCTCCAGCTCATGCAATGTGTTTCTAATATAATTACTCTGAATTATTTTGCATTTTTAACACTACTGGAAAAAAAGCAATCTTTTTTGATATGTTTAAAAATTAAAACCTGATCATCCTGGTATCCCCCTTCTTAAGTATCTTTAGTAACTTACTACTAGGTTTGGGATCAAGTTTTAACTCCTTAACCAAGCATTCAATTCTGAAACAATCTGGCCACTGAAAATTTTCCACTCTCATCTCTGGTTACATTCCCCCATCCACACCCTTCATTCCAGACTTACCTGAAGCTCCCAGAGCTTACTGAGCCTGCTTATGATCACAGCTGGAATGAGCTGGCTCTCACTTTGTTTGCCTGGTGAACAATTCCTAGTCCTCTAAGCTTATGTTAGAACACCATCTCCCTTTTGGAGGGTTTCTGGCCTTCACAGAATTAAGCCCTGTGCATACCACCTGTGCATGTCTGTTAAAGGCTTCACTATCCTGCTACATAATCAGCAATGATTCTTGTCTGCGTCCAAAATTAAGGTGGGTTCCTTGAATATAATGTCTGTGCCTTGTTTAACTTCTATATGTTAGTGCCAACTGCAGGGTCTGACGCATGGTAGGAGCTCAAAGTTCAACTGCTAAATGACTGACAAACGAATGTTACTCAGACCAAATTATTTTGTTATCCTGTTGTTGTCTTTTTTTTTTTCTTAACAGAACTAACCCCAAATGTGCCTGAATTTTGGACACTGTTAGCTAAAGGTAAAGTCTTACTGCTAGGTAGCTTGGGAAATGTTTTGGTTTTCTAAAATCTTACTTAAAGCTAAGATCAGTCTAAATACCTCTAATACTGAGTCAATAAGTCAACATTTTGTTGGCACATGTGATAGCAAAATACAATACAAATCCAGAAAGGTGATAAAGTGTTACACATTTTCTGATTACCCACTCTCTACAAAAGTTTTATTCTCCTACAAATGTTAAGTGTTATTCAATTTATTCATGGTTAAAATTTTTCAATAAGAGTCTTGTTTAATACCATCCATCTTTGTATTTGGAGCAGTGTGTGCAAAAGCACAGACTGCTTTTGATGCAAAGTATACATCAAAATATATGCAGGTATACAAGTGTATCATAAATACATAAGCATGCATGTAGAGCATGAGGTGCATATTATTTCTATGCATTCGTATATAAATGCATATGCATACATGGATGTACACATGTATCACACAGAAATAGATGCGTTGTATATGTGAAATACACAGATACAACGTTGATTAGTGTTTGCATTCTGCATCAACTACTCATTAATATTTCTTTGTCACCCCAAAATCAATACTTGCAGCACCTTCACAGTCATTTACGGACATTGGCAGAGCTTTGAAAATTTTTAATAGACTGACACACACATTCCCAGCTGAAGTAGAACAAGGCAGCGTTCTGCCTTCTTTCTTCAGCTCTCATTCAGTAAAGAAGCATCATTTCTGCAGTCTGCCTAGTGCCACATTTTTTGAACTTTTTGTGCTTTTTTTTTGTTGATGATTTTCTGTTTAAAATGGCCCCCAAATGGAGGCCGAGGTGGGTGGATCACGAGGTCAAGAGATCGAGACTATACTGGTCAACATGGTGAAACCCCGTCTCTACTAAAAATACAAAAAATTAGCTGGGCATGGTGGCGCGTGCCTGTAATCCCAGCTACTCAGGAGGCTGAGGCAGGAGAATTGCCTGAACCCGGGAGGCGGAGGTTGCGGTGAGCCGAGATCGTGCCATCGCACTCCAGCCTGGGTAACAAGAGTGCAATTCTGTCTCAAAAAAAAAAATGGCCCCCAAATGTAGTGCTAAATTGCTGGTTAGTGTTCCTAAGTGCAAGAAGGCTGTGATGTTTCCTTATGAAGATAATATGTGTTAGAGAAGCTTTGTTCAGGCAAGAGTTACAGTGCTGTTTACATGAGTTCAGTGTTCATGAATCAAAGATGTGTATTAAGTGAAGTATCTTTAAACAGAAACACATGTAAAACAAGATTATATATTAATCAGTTGATGAAAATGTTGTGACCAGAATTGCAGGCATCTAACCCTGTATTTACCCTGGGAGCAACAGTTCAGTATTTGCTAATACAGTGTTTATCATCACTTTATAGAACATAGTGCCAGGAATAATGAGAACAGACTGTACATATTATACACACACACACAAAGGCAATAATTTTAGTAAGTGAACATTGTTTACCATAACACCAATTTATTGTTTTAACAGCTATAAATGGAACAATGGTGACCATGGATGATAAAGATCAATTATTTCACCCAGTTCCAGGTAAGAATAAATCCTTCATTTGGCTGGGCACAGTGGGTAATGCCTGTAATCCCAGCACTTTGGGAGTCTGAGGCAGATGGATCACTTGAGACCAGGAGTTTGAGACCCACCTGGGCAACATCACAAAAACCCCTTCTGTACGAAAAATACAAAAATTAGCCGGGCATGGTGGCATGCCATTGTACTCTAGCCTGGGTGACAGACTGAGACCCTGTCTCAAAACACAAACAAACCAAAGTACTTTAATTAATAGACACATAAATATGCTTACACATCGTAGTGTCTTCATGGTGATACTATTTTTCCTAGTGAAGTGTGGTGTGTGAAAGGGGGTATCATGGTGGCTGACATCTCAGAGAGGACATTTACTGTGTAGGAGAGTTATAGTTCCTAAGTCTTCTTTTTTAGTTATACTTTACAGATGACCATTAGCATCTTCCTGTTTTGTAACATTTATTCCTGAAAGCAAATGTAGGAGGTAAGTGAATAATATATAGAATGCAGCCTTTTTTAAAACCAGACTTTATTTTTAGAGCAGTTTTGGGTTTAAAGAAAAATCTGGCAGAAAGTATAGAATTTCCATATTCCACCCTCCTCAGTTTCTCTTATGTCTTGCATGGGTGTGGTACCTTTGTGATGATTTATGAACCAATAGTGATGCATTATATATTAACTGAAGTCCATAGTTTAGATTAGGGGTCACTCTTTGTATTACACAGTTCTTATATAATACAAATAACTCTTTAACTCTTTAACTGTATAATACAGTTCACTCTTTGTATTACACAGGTTTTGACAAATGCAAAATGTCACGTGTCTACCATCCCAGTATCAGAAAAATTTCGCTGCTTTAAAATCCCCTCTGCCCCCATCAGTTCATCCCTTTATTCCTCTCCCCTCCTGAACCCATGACAACCACTGATCTTTTTACTAGCTCTATAGTTTTGCCTTTGTTAGAATGTCATATAGTTGGAATCATTATAGTGTGTAACCTTTTCAGACTAGCTTCTTTCACTTAGCAATACACATTTAAGATTCCTCCATGTTTTCTTGTAGCTTGAGAGCTCATTTATTTTTATCACTGATACACCATTGTATGGACATACCCTAGCTCATCTGTTGAAGGACATCTTGGTTGCCTCCAATTTTTGGCAATTATGAATAAAGCTGCTGTAAACACTTGTGTGCAGGTTTTGATGTGGACATACATTTTCGACTCATTTTGGTAAATATCTATGAATATGATTTTGAGATCGTATTGATAAGAGTATGTTCAGGTGCAGTGGCTTGCCTGTAATCCTAGCACTTTGGGAGGGTGAGGTTGGAAAATGAGAGTGTTTGTCTTTGTAACAAACTACCAAACTATCTTCCAGAGTATTTTTGGAATTCACACCAGCAATGAATGTGGGCTTCTGCTGCTGGATACAGTTTTTATTAATGGACTAATTATATTAATAAGACTAAAATAAATCCCTGATTTGAATGCAAAATTTCCTGAAAAAAATCACATTAATTTCCCCAAAGAAACCTCTGTACCATAAATAAATGATTGAAAAATAGCATCTGATGCTATATCTTAGACCTGTCACCTCATTTCTGCACTGGATTGATAAGTGTAGCCATTTGCCTTGTGGTGCTTCAAGAAAATTGAGTGATTCGGCCGGGCCCTGTGGCTCACACCTGTAATCCCAGCACTTTGGGAGGCCGAGGCAAGTGGAACACCTGAGGTCAGGAGTTCAAGACCAGCCTGGCCAACATGGTGAAACCCCCGTCTCTATTAAAAATACAAAAAAAAAAAAAAATAGCTGGATGTGGTGTCAGGCACCTGTAATCTCAGCCACTTGGGAGGCTGAGGCAGGAGAATCACTTGAAGTCTAGAAGCAGAGGTTGCAGTGAACTAAGATTGTGCCACTGTACTCTAGCCTGGGCGACAGATCGAGACTCCATCAAAAAAAAAAAAAAAGAAGAAGAGGAAGAAAGGAAGGAAGGAAGGAAAGAACAGAGGGAGGGAGGGAGGAAGGGAGGGAAGAAAATTGAGTGATTCTTCTTTGTTTAGAAAAAATATAAACAGGAATGACAAATGCTTGTTCATTTTATAAATACTTTGTCATTTCTCTTATTTACTATTTAAGTGATTAAATTGAGCTTGATTTTATTGTTTATTGAGCACATACTACATGTTAGATGTTATAGACACATTATTACATTAATCCTCATGGCAATTCCATGAGGTTGGTATTATCTTCATTTTACAGCTGAGAAACCTGAGGCTTAGAGAGAAAAGCTGCTCATACTTGTAACTAGCTTTTCTGGAATTTCCAGTGATTATGAATCCAAGACCTTCTCTAGTTCTGACCATCACCTAGATAAAGAAAATGTACTATGAGCACATCTCTCTATAAAAAACCCTTTCAGGAGACAGAAAAGCAATTCAGGAGCATAGCCCATTTTAACATAATTTGTTTAATTATTCCCAAAATAATAAGCCTCAAAGCATTAAATGAGTCATTGACAACTGTACACATTTCATGGTCTGAGATCATGCATTGACAATTATAATTTTTAAAAATCAGAGAATATAGACATGGAAGCTTGTCACTGCTTATCACCTCAATATCATTACCTAGAAAATACTGAAAACCCTTGGACCTTTCAGGTTGGCAGAGGCTGGGAGTTAGTTGGGGGAAAGGGGAGGAATAACAACATATTGTTATCATGACATGTTTATTAAGTCAGATATATATTCGGGCAAATGTAAAATTTGGCAGTAAAGCTATCATTTTATTAACAGATTTAGTAAAAAATAATTCTTGATATCTCTAGGTCTAGACATAATCTTATATTTAACTTATCTTAGAAAGTTAAATACATTGATTCTATTTATTTTTATAATGTGAAGTACACTAGGTTTATTAGTGTTTTCAGTAATAAAACAGCAAAACTAGTCCTTAAGCCTCATGGAGGAAGCATCCACTATACCACCCTTTTAGCATAAAAGAAAAATCAGTGCATGACCCAACACTAGAGCATGCACCTTTGCCCCCCGAAAGGCTGGTCCCTGGTGTGTAAGTCAATTGTTCTGAATAGCAATCTCTTCAGACATAAGTCAGAGAAAGTCTGCTGTAGATGCATTTTGACATCTGGTAACCTGGATTTGAAACCAGAGTTTGCCACTTACTATGTGCCAAGGGCAAATACAGAAACTTCGGTAATACTGCAAAACGGAGCAAAGGACAGCTCCTTCAGGATGGCTGTGAAGGTTAAAGGGAAAAGAAGAATGCTTGGCTTTAGAGAGTTGCTTTCTGTTTTGCACTGCCTGCGGGATGGGAGACGGGGCAGTTATTACTCTGGGAGACTGGGCAGTTATTACTATACAGAGGGCTTGCTTCTCTGTATTTGCTTTGTAATCTTTACTCCTTAAGGAAAACACAGTGAACACCCTCTTTTCCATTGTGGTTTCTTTCTTTCTTTTCAGAATCCGATGTGAATGCTACGAAGGAAGAAAATCGACCCGATCTAGAGGATCTGAAGATAAAATTAATGCTGGGAATTTCGTTGATGACCCTCCTCCTCTTTGTGGTCCTCTTGGCATTCTGTTGTGCCACACTGTACAGACTGAAGTACCTGGGGTAAGTCTGCAGACCTCTCCGTCTTTACAACGGAGGCATGGTATCCCATTCTCGCCTCCTTAGCAGATCTTAGGAATGTGCGACCTCCAAATTTATCCATACAGCATTCAAATGGATTCCATTTACCCTATTCAGATGGAGGATGGGACTGTCTTTAAGGGACTATCCTACTTGAACTTTTTCCCAATAGTCAACCAGAGATAGCAAAAACCTTAGTCAATTGGAAAGGATATAGAGAATCTAGATTTTTTTTTTTTTATGTAGCCCTGGAACAAAAGGGCTATATATTCTGTTCTAAATGGCATATCTATTTAGTGTCTAATGTTTTTCATTCAAGCAAGCCTTGAGACTTTCTAAAAACAGCCAATCTCTGTCATCTTTAAACTGTGAGGCCTGTCCATATGCTCTTTCTTATAAAAATATTGAATTCAACTCAAGCCTGATTGAGGGAATTATTTAAAATTTTCACAGTGTAAACTTTTGAAGATTACCTTCAAAAATCCTAACAGAGTTGCTTAATGTTCATAATGATCCTTAATTCCATTCTTTTCATTACGGTGTTTTTGACGAATGGTGTATTTCTCTGGTCCATTAAAACTGTGTTCCTAGGTATTTATTCCCCTTCATTCAATTTCTTGCACATTCTTCTTAAACTTTTATTAAGGCAACTTTTACTGTTTTAGTAAACTGGTTAATAAATTGTAGTAGAGATTTGAAACATGCTTTATTCATAAAGTGTTAAACATAATCAAATTACAATGAAAGAAAAACTATATATCATTTCCATAATGTTACTAAGTAATACATTGGGCAATATTAATAAATTTTTAATTTTTGAATGCTTTTTAAGCTGAGTTACAATGTATACAATTAAAAACAATTCTTGACATATGCTCTTTCTTTTCAGTGGTAAAGGTTGTGAGAGTCAATATTCTATCAATCCTGAGCTGGCTTCGATGTCTTACTTTCATCCATCAGAAGGTGTATCAGATACATCCTTTTCCAAGAGTGCAGAGAGCAGCGCCTTTTGGGGCACCACTTCTTCAGATGTGAGAAGATCAGGCACAAGAATATCACAACCTATGGACGTAAACAACGTGATAGAGTTATCCGATGAAGAAATCAAGGAACCTGATGAAGAGATCATACTGATGAATAGATAACTTTAATTCTTTTGTCATCAAAAGACCTTTATGTCTTCTGTTAATGTCATGATTTTGAAACTCCACTGAGACAAACATTCTGGTGTTAAAAGAAGGACATATTCAATAAAAATTACCTATTGGTTATAAAATTTAATGGAAAACACTCAAGAAAATAATTTAAGGTGAAAAACTCATTGGGCAAAAACATTCCTGGAGAGTGATTTTGAAAGATATTTTCTCTAGGCTGGTTCATTTTAAAATGAGGACGTTTATATATTTACCTTCCCTGGGGGCATTTTGAGAACATCACGGTACTCACCGCTACCTATGCACCCCCTCACCACCACTGAAGCAAAAAGAACACAACTGTTCTTGTCTTATTGACAAAACAGTTGTGCCATCAAGGGATGAAACTAAATTAGTGGTAGGAACTCAGCATTTTTGAATTGTTTAAAAGTCATCAGGGGCTGCTCTCACATGACAAAGAGTAAGAAAGAAAAGATATTTTTCCGTTTCTGAAGTATCAATAATTGTTTGAGACAACAGGGTGTTCTAGAAGAAGAGAGAGGCAGAGGGGAATTCCAGCAGGTAATTTCCTAGATGGGGACTCACGGACTCTAGTCTTTTAGCGCTGAAGTGCCCTTCTTTCTCTCTTCTTCCAGGTATCCAGGATTATTATGTTCCATTGAAAGAAAACCAATGCCTTTTAAAGACTTATTCAAGTTTATTAGTGACCTTTGTGGCTATTCATACCAAAAGTATTTCGATTTACAAAGAAGATAAAAATAGGGATAATGTTTCCTTTTTAGAAATTAGTTTCAAGTGGAGGAATTTAGGGACAAGCATCATGTCTTTTCTGGATATATATGGATATGGGAGAAGAACTCAGGGCACGTTTCATGGCCCTCTTCAATTCCTACCACACCAATAGTTTTCAGCTACTGAGTACCTACTTTATAGTAGGCACTTTAAGGGCCAGGCGCAGTGGCTCACTCCGGTAATCCCAGCGCTTTGAGAGGCGGAGGCCGGCGGATTGCCTGAGCTCGGGAGTTCGCGACCAGCCATGATCCATGACGGTGAATAGTCACCCTTGCCGCAAATGTCTTTAGGAGCAACCTAGGCCCAGTACCCAAGACACGTAAGGTTCCTTAACTCAGGTGTTCTTTCGGCTCTCGGGAAACTCTCTTCCTTTCCTTTAGCTTGTAAATTATCTATAATCCTTCTTCCCCGCGAAAATAAACACACATTTTACTCTCACCTGCCACTTCCCGTACTACCCATTCTCAAGGGTCCTTCACTCCCAAATTTCGCCCAGTCTCACTCACCATTGGTTGGGAAAGCTACCGAGCTCCGCCTTTGAGTAGCGATTGGCTGTATCAGACAGCACCCTTGAGGGAAAGGCAGCAGGGCGGACGCTCGCCTTTGTCTGATTTCTGCCAACAGTGCTCAGCTTCTGAGCCGGTGGAGGTGGCCTGGAGCCGCAACTCATGCTACCCTCTGCCACTTACTTTTGTCATTTTCTGTGCTCTTTTGACAGCTCCAGGGATGGAGCCAGCATTTGTACTGCCAGTTCAGACACCTGCAGATCTGGCTGGAAAGCGAGGGAAATGGTTGCAGTTGCTTGGGGGTGCTCCAGGTGCAAAGAGTTGCGCTGGGTCCACAGGTGAGAAAGGGACGTGAGAAGAATGTCAGGTGGACTTGGAGGGAAGTTGATAACCAACTATTCCCACGTTTTCTCTCCACCCTGGCTTAGGAGGTACCATGAATTTTCCTGATTGGAAAGAGGTGGAAGAGCCACTTTTTAGTCATGTAAAAAGTCGTTGTAGGACTCTAGTAGTAATACTTGTCTTTCATACTAAAGTAGAGCATTGTAGAAAGTTGAGTGTGGCATTCCTCCAGCTACAATATCTAAAATGGCCAAAAGAGATGTGTTAGGTATGTATTTTTAAAGGCGCTCGTCATCCTCAGACAGGTGGCGTAGTTTGTCTTGTAAAGTGCAATGAAGGTGTTTTGAGGGGGCTGCAAGGGGAGTGGGTGCATGAAGAACGTCAGGAGGTACTGATGTCTGTGGTTTCTTTTCCTCCCTCTTCTGTTCTAAAAGTGAGATAGAGGTCTCACAGCAGTGCTGGTTGGGGAAAGGACTTCTTGTTTGTCCACTGCCCACCCTGTATGCCATCCATAGCTAAACCTTCATTTTCTGAACAGGTTTTCTGGACCTCTGACCTATTTGTCCTGGAAGGGCATCATACAACCAATTCCTTTTTAGCCTATCAGTCTCCTCCCCAATTCTGAAACTTTATCTTATGTCCTTTAGCTGATGCTCCCTAATCAATCATCCTCTTCCCTAAACCTCAAAAGGGCCTCTCAATTCTGTTCCCTCATCTCCATAGGCGTATTTTCCTGCTTTGTGTGTTTTCTTTTACCTTAACTACTCACAATGATGCAGGTGAACCCCCAAACTGGGGCTCAGCTTGGGAGCGTTCTTGGCTTTGCTCAGGAAAGAATTCAAGGGTCAGCCGACAGTGAAAGCAAGCAAGTTTTTCTTTTTTTTTCTTTTCTTTTTTTTTTTTTTTTTTTCTAAGATGGCGTTTCACCATGATGGCCAGGCTGGTTTTGAACTCCTGGCCTCAGGTGATCCACGCATCTTGGCCTCCCAAAGTGCTAGGATTACAGGCGTGAGCCACCACGCCCGGCCAGCAAGCAAGGTTTTTTTGTTTTTTTGTTTTTGTTTTTTTTTTTTAAAGGCGGAGTTTCGCTCTTGTTACCACTTTTTTTTTAGGCTGGAGTGCAATGGCGCGATCTCGGCTCACCGCAACGTCCGCCTCCTGGGTTCAGGCAATTCTCCTGCCTCAGCCTCCCGAGTAGCTGGGATTACAGGCACGCGCCACCATGCCCAGCTAATTTTTTGTATTTGTAGTAGAGATGGCGTTTCACCAGCAAGCAAGCTTTATAAACAGAAACATTGCACAGCGAAAATGGCGGCTCCGCAGACAGAGCGGGGCTAGCCCGAGGCAGAGCAGCACCTGTGGGCTGCCGGCTAGCTCTGTTTATACCTACCTATAATTACATGCTAAGTAAGGAGTAGTTTGTTCACAAACTTTCTGGAAAAGGGTCAGGGAGTTTGTGGAACCACACAAAGTCACTTCCTGCCATTGCCATGGCATTTGTAAACTCACGGTACTGGTGGGAGCGTCTTACAGCATGAAAATGGAGAGCCCAGAGCGGGAGCTACAGCCTGGTTTGCGGCTGCATTTATGCTCTTAATTACATGCTAATTCAGGGGCTTTTCCGGAAAATTTTCTAACAAAGGGGCAGAGAGTTCCAGTAACCGTACAAGGAAACTTCCAGGCGTTGCCAAGGCACCTGTAAACGGCCTTATCTCTGGTGGGAGTGTCTTTAACAACGACCAGTGAGAGGCAGCAGGTTGCTTTCCTCGCCCTCTTCTGGTTTCTGAGAGCTTTCTCTGCCACCTCCTGGCTTTGATCCGCAGGAGCCTCACTGGTGCTGGAAAAAGAAGTCCTGCTCATCTACCTCCCGACTGCAAAGGAACTTAGGATCAGTGTCTGCGGACTGGCTGTGCCGGGGGAGAAGCACCAGCACTCGCCTTAGAACTGGCGGCCACGTCCTTCTACGGGGCCCGGGAGTAAGTCTTCCCAGCCTCATGCACCCGCGATGGTTCTAGCCCCTATTTTCGCTTTCTTCCTCTCTCCCGCCGCAAGTGTGTCCTAAACATGCCGAACAGCGAGGGTGCTACAGGGGTCCTGATTGGGGGTGCTGTTTGCACCTCAGTTCCTGAAACGCTCGTTTGTAGGGGGAAGCTGTCCCAGAGCTGTTTGGAAAGGCGGTTGGCTTGGGCAGGCGTCAAGAGCGTCTCTTCCATCCCTCAGGAGGAATGGGCATCAGCTCCCCAGTAACCGAGAGAACTGCTGGGCCCTCGGGGCTTCAGGGTTCCCCACGTGGGTGGACCCTCGCGCTGCTCAGATGGGGGCGGGGCCAAAGTCACCAGGTCAGAAAGTCGTGGGCCAGGGACTTGCATAGGCGTCTGAGCTCTTTGCAAGGACCAGTAAATGCCACTTCTTGGAAATGCAGGATCTTAGGAAGGCGCCTAGGATGGCGCGCACAAGATTTGCTGGTTAAGAAACTGGTGCAAGGAGGTGGTAGGTGTCCTGTCTCTCTGTCACTCATCCCCAACTTGGAATTACTGTTAAGGACCTTCCTGTGGTCTTGTGACAGGTGGAAGAGGTAAGGAAGAAAATTGGCTCCTAGGCCTCTGTTAATTCTGGTGAAGGCAAGGAGTAATTACCAATCAAAGGAGCTGTTCCCAGTCAGCTCTAGCCGGAGAAAAGATTTTAAGTGTGCCTTCAAACTTCAAAATTAACCCTCCAAATCTAGCTTCTGGCGAAGTTAACAAACAAAAAACAAAACTTAACTGTTCGTGACGTGGAAGGAAAGTATAATCAAGTTTTTTCAGCAGTGCCCCCAAAGCACTATTTAACACCCCTTCCTAAATCACTGCAACCAAATACAACGCAGCTTAAGCCAAAAGGCACTTCCACCTGCTTACCTAGAGTTTACTGCCCTTTCCAAATTAATTTAAAGAGATTAGATCCAGGCCTTTATCTTTGGATCCTAAGAGAATTTCATTCTTGTGCGTGCTCCTCTCCTTCCCCCTCCTCTATAAAAATGTCACATTTCCACTAGACTCTTTCGGGTTTCAATCATGTTAATTTCTTTTCTTTTTTTTTTTTTTTTTTTTAAACAACTTATTTATTGAGGGCAAGGGGATGCAAACAATACAAAAATCAAAAGCTTGTCTGGCATTTAACTTTTCTTTCTCTGCTCGTCAAATGGGAGTTAGATTTTATTTGTACACTTGCTAAGGGTCCTGATCTGCTCATGAAATCCTTATATGGGGGAAGCTGTGGGGCAGATTCCTTAAGTGACCCTTTGGGACAACTCTTATCAGGGCCGGGGGAATTGCTCATTTCTGCCTACTTCTTTCCCTTCTGCTTCATGTGTACTACAAAATAGTCATTGCATGCAATGGTGAGGCCTGCAATCAGGGAAAAGAAGCTCTGGAAGCCCACTTTGCCATCTCTGCACTGGTCCAGGTCCTTCATTATTTTGTCCACGGCCAGAGGGTCTTTTTGATTTTCCAAAAATCCGGGGAACTCCTTTTCCATGAGTACTCTCAGGTCCTCCTTTGTTAAGTAGCCTTTATCCCCAGCAAATTTGTGAAATGTAAACATCATGGTTACCATGGCATGTTCCATTTGAGATGGCATTTTGGTGTGGTCTGTTGAAGCCTTGGCCAAGGCGCGGCGGACGCTGGGCTAGCTAGACGCGGGGCGGCGAGGCGAGCGCAGCGGGCTGTGAGCCTTGCTTAGTACGTGCGGCGGGTGGGGAGAGCGTTAATTTCTTAATAGGAAATGAATGCTAAGTTGAAAGGCTATTGAGCTGGGAGAAAGCTTACTGTGTGAAGAGGAAGCATGTGTGTGTTAACGACACATGTAGGTTATCTAAAATAATTTCAGTTCTAAACAATATAATTGAGGCCACATCTCAGATCTGAAATCTCTTGTTTGGGAGAAGGGAGAAAGGTATAAGTTATCCTGTAATTGATACAGGAAAGTGTATCTTGGAAAGAGGGAAGAGGTCGTATTTCCCCTAGTAAAAATCGGGGAAGGAGCTGCCAGGGTGTGTGGACAGCTGTTACTCAAGCCTATGTCTTGTTACTCCCCTGGGTTTCCTCAGTAGTGTGGATCCAGCTTCCCTGGAGTTGTGTTTGTTGATTCTTAGATTTTCATGGTTGTTAGGGGCTGAGGGTTATTGGTGGTTGAAGCATTCTGTAGGTATCAGGGACCTTAGAATGTTGAGACTCACTAAAGGAAGGAAAGACTAATGCTTTAAATACATTTTTCTTGGGAACAGAGGAGATACATCAGTGGATAAGTCTATATACAGTTCTGTGTAAGTGGTATTCAACTATTTTAATAGTCTCCAAATTGTTGTTGGTTGGTGATACTAAGGTGAATATTTTCTGTCCAAAGCATGTCATGTTTGACACCAACAATAATGCACAATCAAGGCCTGTCCTACTGATGTGTAGTCACATTCGTAGTAAAGGATAAGTATTTTAATCAGTCATGGGAATGAGCTAGACATTTGAAAAACTTAAACAATGCTAGTCATTGGCTTCTCATTCTCCTTTAGAACTGAAAACTTGGTAAAGTTAAAACTGTTTAAAGCTGAGTTTGGAGGCCGGGCGCGGTGGCTCAAGTCTGTAATCCCAGCACTTTGGGAGGCCGAGGTGGGTGGATCACAAGGTCGAGAGATCGAGACCAACCTGGTCAACATGGTGAAACCCCGTCTCTACTAAAAAATACAAAAAATTAGCTGGGCATGGTGGCACGTGCCTATAATCCCAGCTACTCAGGAGGCTGAGGCAGGAGAATTTCCTGAACCCGGGAGGCGGAGGTTGCGGTGAGCCGAGATCGCACCATTGCACTCCAGCCTGGGTAACAAGAGTGAAACTCCGTCTCAAAAAAAAAAACAAAAAAAAAAAACTGAGTTTGGAAGAGTTCATGTCCTTCTGCTAGGAAGCTACTTCTCCAGTGTATTACAGAATCTGCATGTCATCATGATTGTAATGATAAAATAAAACTGATTTTCTGTTGACAGTCCTAGAAATAACTATGGAAAAATTGGAAAGAAATATCAGAAAAATTGAGTCAGTCAAGGCTGAGATTGAAGAAGAGCAGAAGAGGATCTCCAAATGAACTCCAGCACTTGAAGAACTAACTCAAAGCCCTGTTTCCAGAGGCCATAGTAGTATATATATATGGTAACTTATAGTTGATTTCTCAAATCAGAGGATTCTTTTTTTGTTGCCTGTTTGTTTCATTTGAGATGGAGTCTCGCTGTGTCACTCAGGCTGGATCACAGTGTTGCCATCTTGACTTACTGCAACCTCTGCCTCCTGGGTTCAAGCAATTCTCCTGCCTCAGCCTCCCAAGTAGCTGGGACTACAGGTGCATACCACCATATGTGGCTAATTTTTGTATTTTTAGTAGAGATAGAGGTTTCACCATGTTGGCCAGGCTGGTCTTGAACTTCTGACCTCATGAGATCCAACTGCCTTGGCCTCCCAAAGTGTTGGAATTACAGGCATGAGCCACTGCACCTGGCCTAGTGGATTCTTTTATAGGAATCTACACATGTAAAATTGTTCGAATTGAATTTTTTTGGTGAATTTTTATTAAAAAATTTGCCCACAATTTGGTTGCTTAGATTCATGTGGCTTTTCAAGAAACACGCTAAATTTGTCTTTACTGAAATTGTATAATTATTTTTTTCCACTAGGCTTCATAACAGGAAGATACGTTATATTACAAAAACACTTCTGGACCAAAAAAGAGAATTGCACACCCTGGCAAATGTGACGATGTGAGTTATCTAGTCCCTCTTGTCCACCCAGGCCAAAACATTGTATGAAGTGCATACCTCGTTATCGCCAGTGTTATTCTAGGACTACTTAATCTTTTCGTCCACTAGGGGGCACAATTTACTGGCAGTCAGTAAATTGATTCCCGCTTGTTAGCGTTTTCCTGTCCCCTACAACCCACAGAGCTAACATTTTCATTAAAAGTAGGTATATTATCATTGCATAGCCTCTTAATCATACATTTTAAAAGTCGATCCTCATTATTCACAGATTCTAAATTTGCGAATTCACCTAGTCACTAAAATTGTTTTGTGACCTTTAAAAAAATCAGGACTTTCTGTGCTTAGGACGTCATTCACAGACAGCGCTGAGTGGCAACACATTTGAATTGCCACGTGTGCATTCCCAGTTAAGGCTGAAGATGGCCACAGCCTTCTTGCTTCAGCTCTCAAACTGTAAACAAATGTCCTTTTGCAGTCTATTTAGTGCCAGGTTTTTTGCATCTGTGCACTTTTTTTGGTGATTTTGTGCTGAAAATTGCCCTTCATTGTAAGGGCTGTCTAGTGCTTCCAAGCACTAGATGTGTAAAAAGGATGTGATGTGTCTTATAGAGAAAATGTTGTAGATAAGCTTTGTTCAGGCATAAGTTTTAGTGCTGTTGGCCACGAGTGTATTAAATGAGATGTCTTTAAACATGATACATACATAAAGCAAGGTCATACACTGATACACACACAAAAAAAAAAAAAAAAAAAAAAAAAATGTGAGAGGAGACTTACCTGAAGTTAACTCCACATTTCTTTGTTTAGGAGCAAAGAGTTCAATATTCACTAATTCTTAGTTTGTGGTGATTTATAGGGAATTACTACCTCAAATAAGAATCGGCATTAGTTTTTTTAAATGATTTGAAATTTTTGTAATTTGTAAGTGTTGAAGTTCTTTTATGACATACAAAAGAGAAACTGAAGGAGTTCAGTGAGTAGTATTCCTTTAACACTTTTGTGTTTAAAAAGTGATATTTAACAAAACCATGCTGCTTGGCAGAAAAAGACTTTCTACTTCCAAATCACAAAATGAAAACCTGAATTTCAGTTCTTCATAGAATAGTTGGATGTACTTGGGCAAGTTATTTAATTTTTCTGAGCTTTAGTTTCGTTATCTATGAAAGGAAAATTGAGTGCCTACCCCGGAGTCAAATATATAAGTACTTAATAAATCCTCTTATTTCTTATAACGTTTAATCATTAATTCAAAATTTCCTCTTATTTCTTATAAAGTTTTTTCATGGCTAGCATTATTTCCCTTTAACTGTAAGTGTTGAAGTGTTTACGGTTTTAATTTTATTGTGCTAGGTAACTCCCCTCCCCAATTCTTGTATATAAATAATTTTTGGCTTTATAAATAATTGTTTCCTTAAAATTCTCACAAGTTGAAGTAATTGGACCAAGTAAGATAAAGAATATTAAAAATTTTAAAGCATGTTGATTTATTGCCTTCAAAGGGGTTTTGAAATTTGTAGTCCTACTCAGTGTTCCAGCATTCTCTTCCCACAAACCCTTACCTACAATGCACATTATAATTTTTTTAAAGCCTGCAAATCTGGTTAAAATTTTATTGCCTTATCTTACATTACATTTCTTTAATTACTAGTGAAGCGGAACATCCTTTCACATGTTCCATTCTCTGATGACAAATGTTGCTGTGGAGAAGTCGGATGCTTGCCTGCTATTTCACCCTTGAGTTGATTGATATTTTTGTCTCATTATCCAAAGGATTCTTCCTTTAATTCGAAGTCTAATAATTTTAGTAGATATGTTTTATTAGCTATTCTATTATCATTTCCATCTACATGCAAAGTATCACTTTTGTATGAGATTTAATTTTTTTACTGTTAATCTTTAATTTTTAATGTATTTTAATTTATTTACATTCATTGAATTTTTAAATCTTTTTTATTTTTTCAATTTTTAAATTATACTTTAAGTTCTGGGGTACATGTGCAGAATGTGCAGGATTGTTACATAGGTATACAGGTGACATGGTGGTTTGCTGCATCCATCAGCCTGTCATCTACATTAGGTATTTCTCCGAATGTCAGCCCTCCCATATCCCCCAACTCCCTGCTATCCCTCACCTAGACCCCCATCCCCCGACAGGCCCTGGTGTGTGATGGTCCCCTCCCTGTGTCCATGTGTTCTCATTGCTAAACACCCACTTATGCGTGAGAACATGCGGTGTTCTCACTGGAATATTGAGTATACTCAAGTCCTTCATAAATTTTAAGTCCAAGAATTTTTCTTAATGATGTGCTGTCAGAAATTTGTTGAAGGATGGCAGCCTCCAAACTTTGCTATGTTTGATTCAGAGGAGTAAATCCCCGCTTTAGGGAATCTGGATGTGGAAACACTACTACAATTAGATGAGTGATTAGCGATCGCCATGTACACACATGCAGGTAGCAGCACAGACATGGCAGTCTCACTGGTCCCTTTTGTGAGTGTAGGTAATTTTATACTTTGTGTTTATTCTACCTCTAAGGAACTTAACACTTGAAATTACTTTTTAATTTAATTTTGATATAACTTACCTAAAACAGTTTTGCTTCTTTCATACACTTACTAGGAATATACTTAGTAGGAATATTAAACGGAAACACGTATTCTTCTTCATGTTCTTTTTCACGTTTGTTTGAGTTTTTTGTTTCTTGTTTTTTAAGATGGAGTCTTGCTCTGTTGCCTAGGCTAGAGTGCAGTGGTGAAATCTCAACTCACTGCATCCTCCGCCTCCCAGGTTCAAGCAATTCTGCTGACTCGGCCTCTCAAGTCGCTGGGACTACAGGTGGCCACCACCATGGCTAATTTTTGTATTTTTAGAAGAGACAGGACTTCACTATGTTGAGTAGGCTGCTCTCAAACTCCTTACCTCATGATCTGCCCACATCAGCCTCCCAAAGTTTTGG